ACAACCAACATCATACTCAATGGTAAAAAGCTGAAAGCTTTTCCTCTAAGATCAGGAACAAGACAAGGATGACCACTCTCGCCACTTTTATTCAACATAGTATTGCAAGTCCTACCACAGCAATTAAGTAAGAAAAAGAAATAAAAGTCATCCAAATTGGAAAGAAAGAAGTAAAACTGTCACTATTTGCAGATGACGTGATGCTATATATTTAAAACCCTAAAGACTACCTCAAAAAAACTATTAGAACTAATAAATGAATTGAGTAAAGTTGTAGGATACAAAATTGAAATACAGAAATCGGTTGGGTTTCTATGCACTAATAACAAGCTATCAGAAAGAGAAGTTAAGAAAACAACCCCATTTACAATTGATCAAAAAGGATAAAATACCTAGGAATAAATTTAAACAAAGAGGTAAAAGATCTGTACTCTGAAAACTATGAGACATTGATGAAAGACATTAAAGATGACACAAATAAATGGAAAGATAAACTGTGCTCATATATTGGAAGAATTAATATTGTTAAAATGTCCATGCTACCCAAAGAAATCTACAGATTCAATGCAATCCCCATCAAAGTACCAATGGCATTTATCACAGAACTAGAACAAAGAATCCTAAAATTTGTATGGAACAAGAAAAGACCCTGAATAGCCAAAGCAATCTTGAAAAAGAAGAACAAAGCTGGAGGCACCATGCTCCCTGATTTCAAACTATACTACAAAGCAATAGTGATGAAAATGGTACAGTCCTGGCACAAAAATAGATATAGATTAATGGAATAGAATAGAGAGCCCAGAAGTAAATTCACACATATATGGTCAATTAATCTATGATGAAGGAGGCAAGAATATACAATGGGGAAAAGACATCTCTTCAATAAATGATGTTGAGAAAACTGGACAGCTATACACAAAATAATGAAACTGGACCACTATCTCACACCATATACAAAAATAAATACAAAATGGATTAAAGACTTGAATGTAAGACCTGAAACTATAAAATTCCTAGAAGAAAATATAGGCAGACAGTTCTTTGACATCAATTAAACAAAGGCTTTAAATCAGCTGTTTTAAATATATTCAATGAACTAATGTAAACCATATGAAAAAAGTAAGAAAATGACTTCTCACCAAATAGTAAATATCAATAAAGAGATAGAAATTATATTAAAAAATAGAAATCTGGATTGAAAAGTACAATAACTGAAATAAAAAACAAGGAAGGGGCCGGCCCCATGGCCGAGTGGTTAAGTTCGCGCACTCCACTTCGGCAGCCCAGGTTTTCGCTGGTTCAGATACTGCGCACGGACATGGCAGCACTCATCAGGCCTTGTTGAGGTGGCATCCCACATGCCACAACTAGAAGGACCCACAAGTAAAAGTATACAACTATCTGGGGGGGGGGGGGGGGCGGTTGGGGAGAAAAAGCAAAAACAAAAAAAGAGAGAGATTGGCAAGTTGTTAGTTCAGGTGCTGATCTTTAAAAATAAACAAAAAAATAAACAATGAAAAAAGTGGGTGGATTCTTAAAATACACTGTGTGTTATGTATTTATACATGTAAACATATATATACATATACAGCTGATTCTCCTTATTCGTGGTAGATATGTTCTGTAAAGCCACCCAAACACTGAGTCAGCTAATATTGAACTATTGCTGCTAGAGGAAATGGAGGGCTGTGTTCCTGCAAGCCTCTGTTCATAACATTTTTGTCAACTGATCAATACATACCTTTGTTTTATGAATGTCTCTGTTTAAAGATGACTTAATATATATGAAGATTCATTAATGTTGAAATCACAGCCAATAGTATTATAACTCATGCCTGAATGAAGTTCTCTAACACACATCTTTTCTCCATAAGGCACAGCCTTTTTGTGCTTAGGAATGCTAGATAACACTTCACCACTACACTTGGGGGCCTTTTTTTTTTGGAGGAAGATTAGCCCTGAACTAACATCTGCTGCCAATCCTCCTCTTTTTGCTGAGGAAGACTGGCCCTGAGCCAACATCCATGCCCATCTTCCTATACTTTATATGTGGGACGCCTACCACAGTGCCAGGCAGTGCCATGTCCGCACTGGGGATCCAAACTGGTGAATCCCGGGCCACCAAAGCAGAACGTGTGAACTTAACCACTGCACCACTGGGCCAGCCCCTTGGGGGCCATTTTAAAGAGCAAAATTGGAGACGGTGTCAAGATGGTGGGTAAGAGGACTCTGAACTCACCTCCTCCCACAGACACAACCAATTTACAACTACTCTTGGAAAAATTACCCCTGAGAGAGAACTGAAAACTGGATAAAAAAGAACCCCCACCACAAGGGACAGTGCTAAGTGAGATGAAAGAGGCAGAAATTCCTTTCTGGAGAGGAAAAAAGCCACCTTCAAGAACCACGGCACTTCACAGCTGGCCAGGAGCAACCTTAAGGTATGAAGCCTTCCCTGGAGGAGCAGGGGATCTGAGCAGGGGAGCATAACTGCTATAAACACACATTAGACTCAGCACAACCAAGATGAGTGTCATAATATCTGGCTGTGCTAGCTACTAACAACAATGGGGAATACCCCCAGAAAAGCTATTGGACATAAGGGGGGAAAGGCTGGCTCTTAAAAGGCCCATGCACAAATTCACCTGTTTCAGAAAGCAACCTAAAATCACCAGAAAGAAAGGTGCACAGTCCTTTGGTGAAAAGGTTCATCTGATAGGCTCTGGGTGCATCTTGGTGAGAGGTGAGATCTCTCCAGGGACTGAGACATTGGTGGTAGCCATTACTGTGACCTAGTACAGGCGTGCTGACACAGACGCTGGAAGACACCATTGGAGTTCTTCTGCTGGCCTGTTAGCCCACAGTCTGCCGCACCCACTGGAGCACTGATTCAAACCAGCTCAGCTAGGGCAGGAAGCCCACCCTAGGGACTGGCCCCACCCAACAGCAAGCCCTCAGGCAGCTTGTGGACCCACATAGACAGGGTGCCTACAACCTCTGCAGCCAGGCACAAAAAAAGAAGTTAGATATGATATCAAAAAAAGCCATCAAACCACAAGGGACAAGAGCAAGAGAAGAAGAAAAGAACAGAGAAGAATTACTAAAACACCCAGAAAAAAAGTAACAAAATAGCAATAAGTACATACTTATCAATAGCTACTTTAAATATCAATGGACTAAATATTCCAGTCAAAAGGCATAGGGTGGCTTACTGGATAAAAAAAAAAAAAAGACCTATATCTATGCTGCATACAAGAGACATGCTTCAGACCTAAAGACACTCACAAACTGAAAGTGAAGGGATGGAAAAAGATACTCCATGCAAATGGCAATGAAAAGAAAGCTGGAGTAACGATATTTATATCAGATGAAACAGGCTTTAAAACATAAACTGTAACAAGAGACAAAGAAGGACACTACATAATGATAAAGGGAACACTCCAACAAGAGAATATAACACTTGTAAATGTCTATGCACCCAACCTAGAAGCACCTAAATATATAAAGAAATTATTAACAGACATAAAAGGGGAAATAGACAGTCAACAATAATAGTAGAGGAATTTAACACTCCACCTACACTAATGGGTAGATCATACATATATTAAATTTTTAAAAATGCAAAAAACACGGCACTCCATAGATCACGAAAGGACGCTTGTTTACAGAATGAGATCTGAGACAAGAAGGCAGAGCATCACCTTATTCAACTTCAGCTAGGAACATGTGCATCCAGCAACTCAAATCTTTTTACTACTCTGCACATGTCTGTGAATGACCTTGAAAGTGCCATAAGTGATTGATTTGGGGATTACAAATAAAGTTTAGCAAGAGAGTTCCCAAATATGGAACCCATGAATAATGAAGATTGGTTGTATATATATATTTTTTCATTCTTTCTAAAATTAATGTTTTTTAAGTTAGATAATGCATAGGTTCTCACAGGCAATATTTTTGCTGTTGTTACTTGCTAGATAGCCTGCCGTTTGGATGTATATTTCTTCTTTGACCCAAGGGTTGTTTAAGAAAGGGTGGGAAAAAAATGTGTATTCTCTATTTTCTCAATATGGAGCTGAATATGTATCAGTCATATCAACCTAGTTAAATGTATCATAGCTTCCTCATTTTGTCCACTTGATATCTCATGGACTGAGGAAGGTAAAAATAAAGTTGTCTACTAGTAGTGTGTTTCTACGTATTTCTCATTGTATTTCCTGTAATTTCTACTTGCTTAAAACTTTTTGGCCTGAGTTATGTTTTCTTTTGCTATTCATATCATGATTCCCTGGTTTGTTTCAGCTGATGTAGGCTGAATATACCTTTGCCTATACATTTATTTTCAATATTTTAATGTTTTTACATGAGTCCCTAACATGATTGAAAGTTGAGATCTACTGTGTAATTTAATCTCAAAATCTTTTATTTAAATGAGTTAAGCCCATTTGCTTTTATTGATAGGACCAAAATGTTTGATCTTATTTCTGTTAGATGAATTTGTATTATATATTCTAGTATCTTGAATATTAAAAATGTTGACTCTCTGCATTCTGTCTTCTATACATTTATGTGCGTGTGTGTACTTCTGATATTTAAGATTTGCATTTTTGTTCTAGTCGTTACAGCTGGTCACATGGCTACAACTGGTCACATGGCTGCTTAGCTAAGACTAAACCTCTCAACCGTCCCTGCAGTTAGCCCTGGCCACATGACTAAGTTCTGGTCAATGGCATCTGAGTAGAAGAAATCTGAGCCACTTTTGCATCTTTCCCTTAAGAGAAATGAGTGGTTGAGCCCTTGCTCATGTCCCATATTTTCATTGATTAGGATTATATATTTCTGATATTTAGAAAGGTTTGTATTTTTGCTCTAGTGATTACTCTTAGAATTACCTTGGGGCAGCCTTGTGGCCGAGTGGTTAAGTTGGCGTGCTCCACTTTGGTGGCCCAGGGTTTCACTGGTTCGGATCCTGGGCGCAGACGTGGCACCGCTCATCAAGTCATGCTGAGGTGGCATCCCACAGAGCAGAGCCAGAAAGACCTGCAACTAGAATATACAACTATGTACGGGGGGGGGGGCGGGGATTGGGGAGAAGAAGAAGGAAAAAAAAAGAAAAGAAGATTCTCAACAGATGTTAGCTTAGCTCACGTGTCAATCTTTAAAAAAAAAAAAAGGATTACCTGTATGTGACACTTTTGGTCCTCTATTTTAGACAGTATTCATTAGTTTACCACCTGAAAGATTCGTAAAATCAGCATACGTCGTTTTCCTCTGTCCAGTCTCTTTCCTCTCTTATCCAGTTTAGGCCCTGATGTTCCCTTTATGTTTACCTCTCACCTATTAAGTGTCCTTTATGTTTACCCCTTGATTTGTCCAAATAATACCCTTTGACTTCTGGCTATATAACAGATGATAACCTTGCTCCACCACCCATATTTTCCCCTTCCTCCTACTTTTTGTTTTTCTTTTTGCTATTATACTATTTCCATATTGCCAGGGGATAACTGTTGATCATTCTGGTCTGTCACCTCACTCCACACTTTTATTTGAATCCCTTTCCCCAAATTTTCCGATTTTGTCTTGGTTTGCTGAAGTGGATCCTTCAGTAGTTTTCTCAATATATGGACTCATAGGAATGATATTTACACAATTTTTCTATTCAAAAGTATTTGTTTTTGTTATTTATACCTGAAAAATAATTTGCTCACTATTTATTTCTAGAAGTATCTTGTAGATTTTCATCCACTGTCCTGTTACTGTGGAAAATTCTGTAGCCAATAAGGTCCCCCTCCTTTGAAAAATGACTTAATCTTTTTGCCTAGTCTGCCCATTTAATTCTTTCTTTACCTTTAAAGTCCAGTAAGTTTTCTGGAATGTATTTCAAGGTTAAATGTTTGAAGTCAATTTTCTCCACTACAGAGTGAAAATATATGTATTTATAATATGTATATTCAATTTTTTGTTATAATCTCAGTAACGTTTTTCTTGAGTTTATCTTTAAGTATTTCCTCCATTACTTTGATTTTCTTCTTCAAGAACTCCAGTGATTCTTCCTTATTTTCTCTCAAAGTTTTCTAAATTGTTCTTAAACGTCTTTGTTTCCTTTTCTACTTTCTATAATCAATCCCTTCACTTTAATTTCTGAAACGTCTAATCTCTTTTATTTTCCTTCTAAACTTGTCTTCATTTCTCTGAGGGGCTTTTTTTTTTCTTTTACTTCTTTCTTAAGTTTTGGTATCGAGAACATGGATGATAGCCTTAGCTTTTCATGGCAAGGCTCTAAATTCCAGGATGTGCACTGTACTGGTGAAATCTACTGGTCCTTGACCCCTATGACCTTCCCTCTCTTCTGTCAGCTTCTGCTGATTTCTGTTGCTTTTTACGTTTCCTTTATTGTGAATGAGAACACCTCATTGAATATGTAAAAGCATACTGTAAATGCCAGGTACCGTGTAAATGTTTTCATTGCTATTATTTTCAGTGTAATGACAACCAAGATGATATGTTGGTAGCTAGGGAGTTATCCCAAAAGTGGAATGAAGACAAAAATAAAGTTCTTGAAGGTTACTGACACATAAAGCTTATAAATCTCTGTTTATAATTCTAAAGGATTATTTTCTTTTCTATTTGCAGGAAAAAAGAGACGTTGTATGAATAAAAAAAACAGTCTCCGAAAAGGTAAGAATAAATGTGAGGATTCACATGTGTGAGCTTACTGCAGCACTGATCTTCCTGCCAGACCCCATCTTTGCTGCAGCCCAGAAACCTCCTATGGGCTTCATCACTAGTGGATTATTTAGAGTAATACAGGCTAAGTCGTTGTAACAAAGAGACCCAAAAATACAACTGCTTAAATCACATAATTTGTTTCTCTTTCATCAAATAGTCCAGAAATGTTAGGAAGAACCTGCCTTCCTCAACATATGGTTTCTCTCTCTGGGCCCAAGAAAGTTATCTGGTTACCATTGTCTCTCAACCAGTAGGAATGGGAGAAATGGACAAGGAAATCACCTATCTATTTCTTTTAGTGGAAAGACCCAGAGTCTTCAGCTCATATCCCATTGGCCAAAACTTAGTCACAGGACCAGAGCTAGCTGCAAGTGAGTCTGAGAAATATGATCTCTAGTCAGACAGTCTTAGGTCCAGCTGTAACTCTATTCCTATGGCAGAAAAAGAGAATGATTATGGGTGACAAATAGCAATCTGCTTACTTGCCCTCCATGTTTTCATCCAAAGTCACTGATTTCCTCAATCAAGGAGGAAAATTCAGACTCTCCATTGGCCTCTGACAAGAAAAGGAACTGGAACCCAGATGCAGCACAGAGCTATGTGAACAGAGACAAGTCAGCCTTGAGTGGGAAATGAGGGACAAGGAGAAAGCGTTGGAAAGGTTTGTTGTAACTAAGGAGCACAGCCCTCAACAGAATAAGGAGAAACATACACAGGGAACTTGAATCAATTAAGCAGAAGACAGAGTCCTGGTACCACATCAGATCTAAACCTGGGAAACACAGTTATTTAAACCTCAATCAGAGCAGACATCACACTGTTTGTGCAGTAGAGGATGAAAGAGATGAGTGGCGCTCCATTTTCTGCATTAGGTTCTGCAATTTTTCATTTCTATTGCATTCCTTCTTTTCTTCCTCTTCCTTGCCTCTCTTCTTTTTCCATTCCCTCTGCCATTCTACCTATGTTTCTCTCGTAGACTTTATTTCTTTTGTTCATTCTTTAACATCACATTATATAAAATACTGCTACTAGGTTTATATGGTACTGTAGAGGTGGCAGAGCTTCTTCCTCTAGAGTTAAAAACGTATGTGGATACATCTTATTTCCTTTCCATTTCTTCTGACTAATTCTATCACAAATACGTATTCATATATTTGTGTAATATAACAAAAGTATAAACACATTTAAATATAAATAAATATATACATATATTTCTAGCATCTCTATCATTTTATCTCTATGCTTATCTTTATCATCTTGGTTATTTCCCAGGTTATACTTAACCAGGTCTAAGATTTTTTTTCTTCTGAGTTTTTGTGAAACCTTTCTACCTTAGCTGCTTTATTAAAACAGTGGGAATTTGTAGTCTAAGTTCAAATCACATTTGTTCCTTCTCCTGCTTTCTTTTCAAATGTGTTCTCTCAAATAGTATTTTTTATGCCCCAGGATGAAGTCTTGGGTAAGCCCCAGAGCTATGCTAGTCCCTTTCAGCAGCAGGGATATTCTTATTCATTATTAAAAAGTCGGAGCTGATGTAATATTAAAACAGGCAACTATGTACTGAGGAAGTTGGTTGAGGCCAGCCTCTTCTCTCATCCATTCTTCCTCTCTAACCCCATCTAGTATTTACCACTTTTAGCTAATTCAAGTTTTGGGAGGAGAAAGAGAAAGAAGTGCTAAGGAGTAAGAGTGGCCCTCTTACGATGGATCCATCATGCCTCCCAAATATGGGGGTTTCATTAGCAACATTTATGAGTTCTTCAGAGACCCCTTCTTAAGAACACTGAAGTTCCCCTAATATAGGAACTCCGATTGACTGCTTACCACTTCCGTCTTAGTCTCCCAGCTTCTAGGAGGTCCACACTTCTGCTGGGGTCACCTTATCCATCCAAATGATACTTCCGGACAGAGCATCTCTCAAGAAGAACTAACTGAGCTCCTCCCTTCCTCAGGGAGGCCCATGAGAATCATGCCTCTTCATGGTCCTATTGTCAGTGGGCATGTAGCTGGTTCTCAACATAGTCAACAAGATAAACAGAGCATCTAGACTCTCCAGACTTGAGTCTTTAAACTTCTCTGCCTCCCTCAAATTCCTGGAGACACAGATCAATTATCTTAAAGCTGAACCTTCTCACTTGCCTGGAGGGGAGGGGAGCACTTTACTCAATTTCTATAGCAAGTCTGTGATGTTCATAGACAATATTTGAACAGGAAACCCACTAACAGCCACTCCTACTTCCTGTGGCATATTTGAGCAAGAAAATTCACAAGAACAATTATAAAGTATTATAACTTTGTATTATTAGCAGTTCTTAAACATCGAATTTTGCAGTAAGGAAAACTCTGGTAATCTGAACTAAACTACTTTTATACCCATAGCTCATTTTGCCTCAACAGGCTTTGGTGAAAGGTGAATCCAACAGTAGCAGAGAAAGACACAGAGGGACAGAAAAAGAATGTGTTTGTCCAAGATGTCTTTGGGTGAACAAGCCTCAAATGTAGTCCAGCCATAGAACTGAAGACAGACATAGACAGAGGGAGGGAGGGAAGGAGTAAAAGAGGAACAAGGGAAGAGAGGAAGGAAGGAAGGGTGAGTGAACACTTCATGGCCCTGCCCTGGAGATCAACATGTTTGAACATGGGTCTCAGGAGATGTACTTCTTATGCCTCATCATCTTCCACCCACAACTCATCACCTGCTGAATCTGAGAGCATATTCCCCTGAGACAGGGTTTTAATCTACCCTTCTTTGTATCTGCAACCCTAAGGCTTTCTAGGACCTGAATTTCTAATTCTATAAATTCCCCTTGGGTGATATTCTCTTGGTTAACTTCTTAGATCCTAATTTTCTGTCCAAACCCATGTGGACAAGATCTTTGGTCATTTTCACTATATTTTCACCCCAAAAGCCTTCACTCAGGACTAAGATGATGGCCAGTGTTTCAACTGTGCAACTCACCGTCACATCTCTCTAGACAACCTAAATTCTTGCATTGCTGCTATTGATGTCTGCCTCTCAACCAAAGGAAATCTGCATTGCTTCACTTAATTTTTACATTTCTGGATGCTTCATTTCTTCATTGGTAATGGGGGTAGTAAAAGTCCCTATCTCATAAATAAATTTATAGATTTAATTGTCTTGTGTTTGTATCAAGCACATAATAAGCACTTACCACCTGTTAGTTCTCATTATTATTCTCACAGTGTTTCTTGAGATACAAGGAATGAGACTCTGACTTAAATTCTTTTTTTATTATTAATGTGGATGTAAATGAATTTGAATTAATGTGAGGGTAAAGAAAATGAACTATAGGATGAACCAAGGTTAAGTATCAAAGGCTTGGTAAGTGCAAGACTATGGGTCACATGTTTTTCTTTATGCATGAGGCTCTTGAAAGGTTACAGCAAAGCAGAATTTTTAAAAAGCATTTCTATATACAACGAAACTTTTCAGCAGCATCTGTTTATATATTTTTCTATTTTCTCAGTGAAAAAGAGAGGTGTAAATAAAATCCAAACTCTGATGGGAAGAGTGTCATGGAAAAGAGGCAGACCAAAAGGTAAAAAAAAAAAAAAAAAAGATAGATTTTCAGTAACTAAACATCTAAATTCCCATGCTTTAATATATGCTTTTAGTAACAAACCTATTTCCCTAATTGTTTTATGTAGCTGTGCTAACTGTTGAGAAATGTCAGATTTAGTCAATTTCTAAAACATGACAGGAAAAGGAAGTTGATAATATCACAAACAGGTAACTTAATGATGAATCTGCAGTGCTGCCTCTGCTGAACTGATAGCTTTCAAGGCTGGAAATAGTTGTGGCCATAAAACACTGTGTAACACACAAGGGCTATAGCTGTCCTTCCTCACATCTCACCACCCTGGAACAACCATGTGGATTTGGGCCTGTTGCCTCGCCTCCTCTGCCTTAGTTTACTAATCTGTAAAGTGAAATAAACTGAGATCATAAGTAATAATAAATAGGCTGACTGCCCTCCAAGGTCCATCCTAGCTTCATATACAGCTTTGCATCCTGTGGATCTCCCAATGGACTAAGGAAGGAGCATGGACAGTTCTCTCTTCTGCATTGTGAACAGGGAGTTTTTAATGGAGTCCCTAGATCTTTAATGGAATCCCAATTTTGCTGACTTGAATGGCAGAAACAGCAGCTCATCGTTCTGAAGTTCATTTCAAGACGTTTACCTCTGTTTCTGTGTAGTCAAATTCTCAGTTCCTGGCCCTCCCACCACCATGTAGAGCTTCTAAGATGGAAAGCTTCCTCTGTGTGCAATTTGCAGATGACTCTAGAACTCCACTGAACTTCCTTCTCAGCCAGGAGAAGGCTCCTGTGAAGGAGAAATGAAGCAAGCAGATAAGACAGACACCACCTCCTGCTGGGATGCTCCATTGTGACCCTGCTTGCTGCTCAGCCAGTCCCTGGCTCAAATCTACAGTCAAACTTGTCAAATTATAGACAAATAACAGTGTAAATTCTTTCTCTGGGCACATAATTGGAAAAAAAGATTTGGCTAGAAATTCCCCCCAGTAGTATAGCAAAAGCAATATATTTTACCGCCTCTCAGTTGTTGATGGTGGCCAACCTACTTGGGAATTATGACATTGGATGATCCTTCTGGAAGATCCACACCCCCGCCGCAGTTACCTCATCAATCCAGGTGTTTCTCCTGGGCAGAGGACCTCTCAAGAACATCCATTTCAGTTCCCATCCAGAGATCCTCCACCAAGCCATGGAAATCGTGCTTCCTCATTGATTCCTCTGCTGGCTCCTGGTTTAGCCCTTCTCCCACCACAAAACACTCTAGCCATGACCCTCACCTTTACATTTCTTGGAGACAAGACTGATAGGCTCTCCTTCTCTGACATTGCCAAGGACAGAGGTCCATCTCCTGTGTGGATCTTTTAACACCTTCTCTCTTAGCTCAGAGGGAGGTGTCTGATAATTCTCTCCAAAGAAAGGTGGTGTCTGTCATAAGGCCTGGAGGTGGGGAAAGCCTATGCTGGCAGACCCAGCCTCACCACCCCCTACAATGATCTGTGCAGCAGGGTTAGACTAGCACTTTGCTTTGGATATAGGCATACTGGGTTCTGATTGCACTGTTCTTGAATGTTGAGGACTCTGCTGATTCTCTGAGGCAAACAAAAGCCACCTAAACATTCTGATATACCTTTTTGCCCATAATGATTTGTCCCAACTATTCAGAAAATTATTTCTGAACAACTTAATTTTTCTGACCACATTATTATTTATAAGGGTTAACATGAGGTTTTAGTGTTGGTAGGTGGTTATTAAGATGGCAGACCCAAGAATAGTTAAATCCTGCCTTGCCAAGGCATTTTACTTCCTGGATGTAAGATAACAAGAAGATGCTGGAACAAGCTAACACACGAACGACCGTTGTAAAGCAAAGCTCAGCAACAATTTGGTGCATATGATCTGGTCTTCAGCCCAAATTTCTCCATGCTGAGAACTAAGCTGGAGTACAATGAGTTTCTGTTTGTTTTCCCTGAAGTTGTTGGTCTGCAACAGGTTTTGACGAAAGCAGATCCTGGCTCACACACTAGTCCCAGAAGGATTTGAAGAGAGAGAAACTGAGAGCAAGAGAGTGTATGTTTGCCAATAATGGCTACTGCTGAATGAACTCAGCTTACAGCCAAGACTGCGGTTTTGATTTGGTCACCTAATGGGAAAGGAGAGGACAGACAGAGCAAGGAGGAAGCCAAAATAAGCACAGTGTCTTCTCAGGGGACAGTGGGCCTTGACCCTTGCAGGAAAAGAGAGAGAGAGAGAGAATGAGAACTTGCCAGTTTTCCTGGGTACACCTATCACTCAGCATCATGAGTGACAGGAGAGGACTGATCCACAGAGAGCTACACCTGTGTGGATGACCTTTTGCACCTGGAAACCATACCAAATACTGTACTTGGCACAATCACGTTCTTTGCAATTTTTTGAGAAAACTTCATCTACTTATGATTCTTTCAGGCAGGTTTAGCAATCTCTCCGTCTAGTGCACCTCAATAATATCTTGATAAACTTCTTAAAGATAACACCTTATAAAGTAGAATGTGCTTGATCTTGGGATGTGATTCCTCTTGGCAGGGAATCATCAATAAATGTCTCATGGGGCCATTTTTATCTTGATGGGGTTAAAAACAACAACAACAACAACTTTTGAGTAATTGTTAGGGAAAAGACACAGACAATGAAATAACGTCACCAACTCGAAAATTTTTCCTGCTTGATTGAGGGAAAGATTCCTTTCCAGCCTCATCTGATCATAATCTGCTTAAAGGAAAAATCAGTCATGATTGAGTATCTGAAGATTTTCTTCTAGGACCTGCACTACCCAAATTAGCACACCAGGAGGACAACCATGGGTACAGAATGATGTGCACAGACCTTTAGAAAGAAAGAGCATCCACTGTGGGTTCCTAACTTCAACATGCAAACACATTCGGATGACGGCAGACCTGAACATGCAGGTGGACATGACTCGCTCTTTTCTTGGACACAATCAACACCTAAATCAAATGCTACAATCTTCCAAGACATCTTTTTGTCAACACTTTGTGTTATCTCTAACCCTACAACTTTTAGAGCTTAGGCGTCAGCTTCTGTAAATTCTCCTTCATTGGGTTAGTTTTGAAGTCTTTGTTCATTTTTGCCATGATCTTCAGTACAAAAGTCTACTTTCAAGTTTAAATTTGTGGCAGCTTTCCGATCAGTAGAGTCTACCATGTGGTCTCCCTTGAGACTTTATATTACTGCCTCTTATTTCTGTCTCTTTCTCAAAGAAAATCTTCAATACATTTATTTAATTTGTATTTTTATGTGTGCACCTCAATTTCCTCATCTGTAAAAAGAGGATAGTATTTAGTCCCTATTTAATAAATTTATTCTAAGGAGGAAGTAACTTAGTAGAGGCAAGGTCTAAGGATAGTTCCTGGCACACAATAAGCACTCAATAGATGTCTAATTTCATTATTCTTCTCACCCTGTTGCTTGGAAAATACATAAAACACTGTTTCGTATTTATTTGGAATGATTTGGAGATACTCATAAAAGAAATATAGGGTGAATCTCAGTTAAGCATCATTTTTGTAACTAGTCTAGGCCAGGCTTCAGCAAACTGGGGCCCACGGGGCAAATCCAGTCCACTGACTGTTTTGTAAATAAAGTTTTCTTAGAACACAGTCACAGCCACATCTTTTCGTTTATGTGTTATCTGTGGATGCTTTCACAATGCAACAGCAAGCTGAGTAGTCACAAGAGAGATTATGGACCTTGAATATTTACTATCTGGCCCTTTATAGAAAAAGTTCCTAACTCCTGATTCAGGCATTTGATACTTTTCTTGAAGTATTAGACAGGCTCCTGAAAAGTTACATTTAAATGGTGTTTTTGCATTACTATTTGCAATGCAGTGTTATCAACAAGAGACATTTATGTTATTTTTCTACTTTCTCAGGGAGAAAAACAGTCACCACTGGGCCTTTGAAAAGAGGCAGAAGAGGTAAAAAGAAGTGATTAATATACTTTTAATAATTAAGCATCTAAATATTTATTTTATAATCTGTGCTTTGAGTGATCAATCGATTTTCTTAATTGGCTGGTAGAGCCAGTAACAAACATTGGGATATTCATTGGCCTTGGTCAATTTCGACAACTGATGGAGTGGTGATAATACCCACTCCATTGATTAGCCAGTTGATCTGTGAGAGACTGCAGGCCTCCTTGGGCCTGTGCAGGGCACCCTTCACTACACTGATGACTTTCAGGGAGGAGAATGTAAAGAAAAAAATATAAAGTGTATGACTCACATGATATTTAGCTGACCCTTCTCTTGCCCACATAAAAAGGTCTCAGGTTGCCCACCAAGGGAGACCCTGGGTAGTAATACAAGACCTGTATCCTAATTCCTAAACTTCCTTTGATTGTATGACTTTGGCTTGTCATTTGATCTTTTCTGCCACAATTTCCTCCTCTGTGAATGGGTAGGTGGCAGGGGAATTAGACTGAGTGGCCTCCTAGCCATCTCCCCCCGCCCCCCAACTCCCAGCTCTAATGGTCTATGCATCTCTGAACTGACTCTGGAAGGACCACGGACAGCCCACCACGCCATCCCAGAGAGAAGCCCCACATGTGTCTTTAATGGATCACCCTCAGTGTTGGCCAGAAGAGCAGGAGCAGGTGCTCCGGCTACCAAAGTTCATTGTAAGACTTTCAGCACCTGCTTCAACAGAATCAGATCCAGGTGCCTCCACCCAAATGTGCAGAGGCCCTCTTCCTGAGCAATTTGCACTTGCTTCTAGAGCACCCCACCCTGAGCTTCCTATTTAGCCACAGAGAAAGCTCACATGAAAGAGAAGTTAAACAAAGCAAAGAGCAGGGAAGGAAGACAAACACTGCCCTCACTAGGTGCCCCATTGTAATGCTGCTTTCCGTTCCTCCAGTTGATACCTCCAGTCAGGAGACAAAGCTAAAATTTGAGGGTTTTTTCTCCATCGACCTAACTTCAAAGCAATAATATGACTAGAAATCTCCCTTGAAAACATCAGGAGGAAAATCATTGTACAATAGGTATTGTAGCCAACAAGCTTGGGAATTCAGATCCTTCCACATGAGGATTTTGTGTGGGATTTTAGAGGATAGGAGTGGAGAATATTTTCTTTATGTATCTAATATGCCATAAAAGAAAGACCCAGAAATGTAACCAATTCATGGGGGAAATCCCTCCAATACATTTTAAGTTATAAAAGCAGAATCTCAAGATGGGTGAGGAAGGCCAGTGCACACTTGTAGAGAAAGATGGAATGAAAAAAATAATGCTTTCTTGCAGGTCCAAGAATTCCCAGAGATGAAAACATAAATTTTCGACTTCCTGAACTTCCCGTGACCTGTGGTGAGGTGAAGGGAATTTTATATAAGGAGAAAATGAAGGAAGGTAGGTTTCATGGTCTCCTTTGCTTTTCAACTGGAAAACACTCATGTGAATCATATATCGTTCAGGGAGTAAACATCTGTGTGGGTGTCTCCAAGACCATCCTCAGGTTTAGTGATTCACTAGGAGGGCTCACAGGACTCAGCATATGGTCGAACTCATGGCTATGATTTATTAAATTGAAAGAATACAAAGCACAATCAGCAAAAGAAAAGGCACATGGGACAAGGTCCGAAGGAAACCAGGTGCCAGTTTCCAAGAGTCTTCTCCAAGTGGAGTCACACAGGACACACTTAATTCTCCAGCAACAAATAGTAACAACATGTGTGAAATGTTGTCCACCAGGGAAGCTGCCCTGAGCCTAGGAGTCTTTATCAGGTCTTTATCAGGGGTTAGTTACGTAAGTACCCTCTGCCTAGCACATGCCAAAATTCCAGACTCCCAGAAGGAAAGCAAGTTTTCATCACAAACCATACTGTTTGAATAAACAGTTTAGGCACAGTGAACCACTCTTTAAGTTCTGGGAAAGGTAGGCCCTTCCCAAAATCTAAATTCCAAGATGCCAGCCAAGGGCCAACCTTGCAAGCAGAACTTTCTAAAGATTGCAGTCTCAGTTCTGCCCTGTTAGCTCATTTCTGCACAGCATCCCAGATAGACTGGAGGAAAGATGGCATTTCCACACTTTTAAAAATTTATAAACATTAGCCTACCAGGCCATCTCTGCTTTCCCCCATGGGAAAGGTCCACAGGATGTCCATCCAGCATCCAACACAAGAGCAAGTACTTCAATATCGGTGTGGAAAGTGGACACATTTGAGAAATCCAACAACAGCCTTCACAGCCCCATTCCCTGTAACATCTGATGGCCTTGCACTAACCAGGAGGAGCACAGGGTGTAGAATCAGAAGACCTGGATTGAAGTTTCAGCTATCCCAAGAGTGGCTGTTTTGTCCGGGCCAAGGTTCTTGGTCTTTCTCAACCTGAACTTCCCCCTCTAGAAAATGGGAATAATAATAAAACTTGCATCCCCGTTTTTTGTTTGTTTGTTTGGGGGTTTTTTTGCTGAGGAAGATTTCACCCTGAGCTACCATCTGTTGCCAATCTTCCTCTTTTTGTATGTGAGCCACCCCCACAGTATGGCCACCGACAGACAAGTGATGTCGGTCCACACCTGGGAACGAACTCAGGCCACCTAAACAGAGCACGCTGAACGTAACCGCTAGGCCAGCGAGGCTGGTCCACCTCACCGTATTATTATGAGAAAAAAATGATAGATATAAAATACTTTGAAAATTCTAATTGTTAAAGTACAGTACAAATGTTCATCTGTCAGGATTGATTCCTCCCTCCCCAAATACAGTTCTTTGGGCACCAACAAGTATAAATGTTTGCCCTATGACTATATTGCGTGTGTGTAATTTAACTCTTCCACTTGATAATATTTCCATAATCACTTTTAACATAAAATAGCCACGAGTCCAGAATATGAGGAATAATTGATCACTGTTAGCTGGATGATCAACATTGTACAAGAGGAGGGAGATATGGCTATGGAGGCAGGTGCCACACAGCCACCTGTGGCCCTCATCTGCAGCCCCCAAAACTCAGCCTGGCTCTATCTCAGGTGACAGAGAAGGGAAGGGAAAGAATCCCGTTCATTCTTCTTTAGAGCCTTTTTTTTTTTTTCATTTTTTTCTTTTTTTTTTCTCTTTTGAGTGTGGTGAAATAATTTTTAAAAGTAAACGTGGGTGGTAATTATTGCACAAAGGTCAAAGAAGTGTGCACACACGGCAGGAAGTCCCCTTCCACCTCGCCTTTCAGGCTGCTGTGGGGCCCCTGAGACGGAACTCAGCTCTCTAGCTGTTGATTCTGAGCCCAAAATAGGTGACCGAGATCCACGTGGTAGGAGGCCGAGTTCTGGGGTTTTCACAGTCAGGGGCACTCCCTGGTGACGAAGGGAGCTCAACTTGTCTTGATCTCACAGGAATCTCAGAGAAGTGCATCCAGAGTGAGGGTCAAAGCTGGTTCACCCTGAGGGAATTTGAAGTCAAAGGAAACTACGGACCATCCAAGAACTGGAAGCTGTCTGTGCGCTGCGCTGGATGGCCCCTGAAATTCCTGATTGAGGTATTCTAGTGACAAAGGGCTGAAATCAAGGATTTAGTGTCCCAATTCACCAACTCCAAGCTTTAGCAGAATTTCCCAGTGTCCAGAAAACCATCATGACCCGCCTCGCCCACGTCACAATGCATATGTTATTACTAACATTCCACTCAGGTGTTATCTTGACTGGCTTATAGTACAGCTAAACCCTTTAAATGCATGAACAGTTATCCTTTTGAAGGTAGAACAGTAAATCGGGGCCTTGACTCTGCCACTAATAATTGCCATTGTGTAATTTGGTCACAGGAAAGTAATTTAAATAGAGGGGGGAAGGTCTTAGATCTTTGGGGCCAATGTTTAAAGTAACACAGAAGAACTATGATTCTGAAAATGATACAGCAGTATGGGTGTTTCCTGGATTACAGAATATTTCAATATTATTTCTTTTGATAGCCATATGAAATTCATTCTTGAAAGAGGATATAAATAAATTGCACTTTAAAATACCTCCTTTGGTCCTCATATCAGCCCCCTGATGTGGACAAAACAGGTCGGGTCTTTGTTGCTGATGAACCCGTGCCTTCTGACTCATCACATGCCCCAGACAGCCCTTTCTTGTGCCACTTGAATGACCATGAAAAGCTCTGTGCTCAGCAAATATCTATTGAGATGTATCAAAGCTGCAGGGACTACTGGTGCAAAAGCCCGGTCCCTAACCAGGAGGATGGCTGCACATTCTTAACCATAGGACTGCACAGCACATCAGTGCTTCAACAAGAGATGCTGGCAGGAAGAGATGCAGTAGCTTGGGGGAGGGAAGTCATTTCTGGCTTTGAGGTTGAGTACAGTTTCCTGGAAGAGTTTGCACTGAGCTGGGTCTTAGAAGGATAGTTCTGACAAACAAAAATGAAGGAACAAGATCCTATATGGAAAGGATGGCATGAAAATCTTCCCCGTGATTTCTCAAGAAGTTGTAGGTAATAAGGTTCAATAAATGGCCTGGGCTGATTGTAGAGGCCCTGAGGCCGGAGGAAGGAGTCTGCATCCTTCCTTTAATCATGGGGGGAATCACGGGAGGTTTGAGTTAGGGACTGACTGACAGAGTTGGAATAGTGCTTTAGAAGTATTAATCTGATGGGAGAATGCAAGATGGATTGGAGGGTGGAGCACTTAAAGCCGTGGAAACCTCAAATGACCTTCTCTGCCTTTCTGCCTGGTACAGTGTCACTCAAACTGCAAGGCCCAAATCAAATGTCACACTCTCTAAAGTCCTTTAAAACTCACTATATTTGTTTCCTGTTGCTGCTATAACAACTTTCCACAAGCCTAGTGTAGCTTAAAAAAATACAGATCTATTACCTTATAGTTCTGGAGGCCAGAGCCTTAAATCAGTTTTATTAGTCTCAAGTCAAGGTGTCCGCAGGCTAGTTCCTTTTGGAACCTTCCAAGGAGAATCTATTTCATGCTGTTTTAAGTTTCTAGATGCCGCCTGCATTGCTTGACTCAAGGCCCCCTCCTCGCGTCATTCCAACCTCTTGTTCTATAATCACATCTCTTACTACTCACTCTGATCCTCCTGCCTGCCTCTTATAAGGATCCTTGTGATTACCTTGGGCTCCCATAGAGAATCAGAATAATCTCCCCATTTCAAGATTCTTAATTTAATTATGTCTGTAAAGTCCCTTTTACCACATAAGTTAACATATTCACAGATCTGAGGATTAGGACTTGAATGTCTTTGGGGGAACATTATTCAGCCTACCATTCTCACCCATTCCTGGATCGCAAAATACTCTGTGAAAGCATGATTTACACTTTATTGTCCTTACCCATTAAATGCTAGCCCTTCCCACTTGTGTCCCCAAAGGCCTGGACACCTTTGTGTACCCAAGGCCACTGAGGGGGCCTGACACCAGTCACTTACCAGGTGTGTTCCAATGCAGCAGCTGTAGTATGTGAGGTATAAAGTCACAAGCTCCAGGGGCACTGGGCAGGGGGCCGGGATGGAAAGGAAGCAGTGGGTGTAGAAGAGGTTGTGAAGGAAAACCTGGCAAGACTTTATAAGGAGAGCAAGGGAGAGGGTGTCATTTTTAGAGCTGAGTCTGGAAAACAGAGAGCAGCATCTTACAGATTTGGAGAGAGGTTATTTTCCATGAAGACACCTTGACTTTGTGTTGACAGTGGGACATATCTAGAAGGAAGCTGGCAATACCAGCCTCACAAAAGAGAAGCAAAGACCCATCATTGCATTAATTTCATTTCTCTTTCAGAAAGGATTTCTACCAAACCCACCAAGAAAAAGAAAAAAGGTGATTATCAGATGACCGTCTGCCAATGTCTCATCTCTCATGTTGTTGATTTTCCATCTCTTTGACCTTGTTTTAAATAGTTTATAAATTAACCAATTATGATTAAACTTGGTTTATAACATGGTGCAGTTGCTGCTTCCAAAAATTACAGTGTATGAGGCCAGGACTTCTTTGAGCATTAATACATTTGAGATAGAGGAGGGAATAACCTTTACAAGTAGATAATATAAGAGAGCTGACCTTATATGTTTGTTTTAGAAAAGGATATATATGCCATACTGTCTTAAAATGAAACATAAAAGTTGGGGCTGGAGTTGGAAAAGCATGATTTTGAAATGCACAAAATGATACATTTAATGACTATTGCCTTTGCAACACTGATTGTTTTTTCGTTGGTTTTTCTGAGATCTAGCTTTAATGAAATAAGAATGGAGCAAAACTTTCCCCAGAAATGTCCCATGGTCACTCCAGCCAACCTAATGTAGAGAATTCCCCTTTAGAATGCATATATAGCCCTAAGTCACCCAGGGAAGCCAAGAACGAAAAGCACATTCTCCCCTTTTCTTTTGTATCTTTCCTCTCTTTCACATACACGCACACACACACACACACACACACACACACACACACACTGTCTCACACTAAATCCTTCTTCAAGCAATCCTTCTTCAAGGGAAATTTTTTTTCCTTTATGGAGATGACACCTCAGAGAATAGAGTGGGTAGGAGGTAGATGTGTCGTGTGGGAGAGGCTGCTGACCTGGAAAATCTTTTCCATTGTGGAGAGGCACTTTGGCTCCATCAGAGGGGGTTTGCAGACCTTGGTTCCATCTATGAAGGTGAATTCTCGTTCCTTCAAAGTAGTATGTGGAGTTCAGGGCCCAGTGGCTTCCCTGCTGTGTGGATTCCAGGGAAGGTGGTGAGATAGCTGATGCCTTCCATGGCCTCCCCAAGACTGGATGTGAGCGAGAACCTGTGCAGTGAAGAAAGAGATGGAAGAACTTCCATTTTCCTAACCTCCAACATAGGTGACCCTGGCCATCTCTGCCACACCAGGAAGTTGTGATCTTCCCAAAACTGGTTTCTGGGGCTACCTCCCCTACTGACTTTATGCTAGAGACTCATTAACTAGGTTAGGAATCCACTGGGTTTTCTGAAGAAAGAGATGTTATTTGATCTGTTCACTAAGACTGAACATCTCTAGCCGGTCCTAAGGAGCCAAAGGTAACTCAGTCTGTTAATTGAATTGGCCTTCTCCCATTCTTTTATCACAGGCACCTTCTTGTGGCTCCCTCTAGGCTTATAGCTCCTAAGGCATGACCACCGCAGTTCTCAGAAGATCTCTCCAGAGGGTCTCTTCCTTCCCCAGCCCCTTGGCTTCTGTTGCTTGTGTCACTCTCAGCACCAAATGGCAGTGACAGGTGGTGCTGTTGGCAGCTTCCCTACTCATAAGTTTCCTGTTAAACTCAATAGTGATAGCTGAGGTGCTCCAAGATAGTAAGATATAAAACTCCAAGCTGATAATTTACTGGTTGCTAAGAAACCTCTCCTCCTGAGTCTCAGCTGTTTTCGTTTGTTTGTGCACTTGGGTATCCACTTAACAAACAACTGTGGGGCAACTGCTAAGCATCAGATGATGTGCTTGGCCAATGGCGATGCAAAGGAGGCCAAAACGACAGACCCAAAAGATTGTTTCAACTTCATTGTCTAACATGGGAGAATAATTAATGGGGTGGGGGATTCTAGGCCATTCAGAGAGGCCAGCAGTGACATGGCCACCTCCCAAGTCATTATGCTGTGGAGCACACTGGGTGGTTTGTTAATGGCCTCTCTGTCCCAAGCTGGAGATAAAAGCTGAGGCAGTCATTGTTCCAGACTGGAAAGAGATCAAGTCATTCTACTGATATCCAAGGTCAATGCAAGTTCTTGGGATTCAGGAGAAAGTGGAGATGTGTTTACCTTCAGACAGCACTGAAGGACCTTGGACCCATTCTATCTTCAGGACTGTGCCCTAGGAGAGCTTGCGAAGGTGGTGGAATTCTCTGGGACACATGCATGGCATCCAGGACCCTGGGTCCTGTGGGCACTAGAGGCTGTGGGTGGTGAGTCCTCAGCCTGATTCTCTCATTGCAGCTTCAACTCCGTCTGTGGAATCCAGGGCAGCCAGACTCCCTACATGGCTTCACAAAGGCCTGCCTTGAGTCTGAGAACCAGGGAATGGAAGTTGCATAGGGCCAAACTGTCACTGACACAAAATTTAATGCTTTTTTACTCTCTATTAGATATATAGACCCATAAAGGCAGATATGAAACAAAAAGAGGGCTCTGGCATGAATCTCTTACATGAAGAAGACTGCTCAGATGTATGGTTAATGAAATATCATATTCAACATTGTCACTCAATCATTCTCTCTTTTCAGCAGGCAGTACCAGGATCTCATGATGATGCCTTTGTTGACCCTTATGTAAGTACTAAGTCCCACCTGTACCACCAAAATAATCCAGGCCTTCTCCCTCAGTACATTATCTGTGCCATTGCTGCTTTTCCCTGAAGCATGCTCGCACTCAGTGGGAGCACGTTGCTGTGTGTGATGGGCAGAGAACAGCTGATGCATCACCTACACCAGGTAGATGGTTTTAAGGTTGGGTGTCTCAGCATGAAAGCATCCTTTCCATTTGTTCAGTGGAAACCTTCCCATCTCCTCATTTCCCCTCGAAAGTGAGTACAAGAGGCAGAGCTCCAGACCACTGGGATCTCTAGAGATGGGGCTTGAGGTGGTAGTGGGCGGGGCTGGCCTGCAGATTAGGGGAAAAGAGTAAATTTGAGAGGATCACAGCATTTTAAAGAAGGCAAGGGAAGGAAAATCCCAAAAACTCCACTCCAAGGTGCAGGCAGAGCTAAGATGGGTTTAAGCATCACCCAGAAGGAATAAGCCAGGCCAGGCTGGTGAGTTCAAGATGTGGACCCTGTTGTGAGTCCTGCAGAGAAATGGACACAGGGCAAGTGGGTCCTTTATGGAACCCCTGTAGCCCATCCCAAGGGAGATAGGGTGCTGAGCTGGTTAGGATTGAAATGATCACCATGTAGCAAATCACAGGCATTTTTACTCAAACTGCTTGGCTGGTGCTCAATAATGTGCAGACCATTCTGATCCTACAGGTCCTGTCCATTCTCTGCTGGCCATATGGCTGCCTGATTTAAGGTCTGCCAAAATCGTAGATGGCTTCTCTCTCTAAGCTAAATCATACTTTGATTGCTTTCATCTCAGTAAGATGGACATTTTAGGCAGTCACCCTCTTGCACAATTCCAGGGGGCACCTCTCACTATAGAATGTTGTTCAGCTGGACTGATACCAGACACCAAGAGAGAGGAGATAGAAAAGAGTTGCCATCCCTCTGGTTTTCTAGCAAATGCATTGCCCAGCAAGATCTAGATACATCCACAATTGAGTAGTGGAAGAGCTCTCATCTCTGGTGTCCGTGTAACTTTACTGATGACTGAAGTGGACAAGGAGAGTTATTTCTCACAGTCCACAGCCAAGCCCTCTGTGAAGATGAAAAGGCAACTCTTCCAGCAAGGATGTCCTCACCCTTTCTCATAACTTTTCTTGTGTCAGAGCTTGTAGGCTAATAATGACTCTACTTACAACCCCCGCCCCTTGCTCGGGAGAAATTCCTCTAGATCTTGGGATCTCAATCTTGGCTGCACATTCCGATCACCTTGGGGATCCCACTCCCAGAGGTTCTGATGTTATTGTTCTGAGGTGCCACCTGAGGATGGAGATTTTCCAAAGCTCCTCTGGTGCTTTGAATGCACAAAGTTGTGGGCCACTGTAGACTGGTGCTGTTCAACCTGTAGTGTCCATCAGAATTTCCTGGGCTTCTGATTCAGTAGGTAAGGGGTGGAGCCCAAGAATTTGCATTTCTAACAAGTTCCAGATGATGTTGATGCTGCTGGTTCAAAGACCACTGCTTTAGAAGCCAGAGGGCTCAACTAATGACTGCATATTAAAACCATATTGCCAGCACAACCAGAGGCACTCACAATTGGAATATACAACTAGGTACTAGGGGACTTTGAGGGGGAGAAAAAAAAAGATTGGCAACAGATGTTAGCTCAGGTGCCAATGTTTAAAAAAGAAAGAAAGAAAAAAGGAAAAAGGAAAATCATATTGCCTATCCCCCAACTCAGGGTAATTGAACCAAAATCTCTGCGAAGGGGACCCCGGGAGTCAGAATTTCTTTAACGTTTCCCAGGTGAGTCTATTGTACAGCAGGTTGAGAATCACTGCTAAACAAAAGGATAAATTTCTTGCTAAAAAGATTAAAGAGGTATACATCAAGTTTGCAGGCTTCCTAGACAATGGAACTTCAAGCACAGGATTCACGTGTTATTTAGTCTTTCTCAGGGCTCACTTGCAGTGTACTTTATAGCATGATGTTTAGAAACCTTGACCCAGCAGCCTAAAAATAGTGGTCAGCATACATGAGTCTCATCTGTTATGACAAAAAGGAAAAACAGTTACATGGCCCCATGCCAGGGCAACCCAGGCCCATGTGGGGATGTGCCCAAGGATGTCCCTAACAGGCCATTCCACAGTTGTCCTATTGAAAGGTAGCACATGGGCAAGATACATCTTGCAGCCTAGAATTTCCTCATATATGTGACTTTTGCGTCTCTTCTTCTTATATTAAATTTATAAATGAAGAGAATTTACAAATTGAGATATCCCAGTTCACCTCAGCTCATTGGGCCCAGGGATGGTATTCTGATCGTTATGATTTGTAACCCAAATAGCAGGCCATTCTGCTTTGGCTCAGAAGATAGTATTATAAGTAGTGCCTCTGCATCCTTATAGCAGCAGACTGCACAGAAGCACTGAGAATGAGATGAGATATTTAAAAATTGGGATCAGCAGGACTGGAAATGGATTGGATATCTGGAATGGGGCTCCTGGGTGGATAGTGGGATGCTTGGTGAGACAGGAAGCACTAAAAGAGGAGCAGATTCAAGACAGGAAGACAAGGAATGTGGTTGGAAGTAGGATGGGGTTTAGGTGCGAGCAAAGACATCTAATTGGATCTGAGGGAAAGTAGAGTTTGGATGTTTGAAGGCTCAAAAGGAGACCAGAGATACAGGTCTTAAAGTCTGGGGATAAATGTGGTAGGTGTGGTCATGAAGTAGTTGTGGTCATCCAGGAAAGTGAAATGAGCAGGGGATATAGGACAGAGCCCCAAGGAATTCCAGCATTCTAAGAGAATATCCTGAAAATAAAGAGGCAGAATGTTAGGAGAAAAAATCCAAGAGAGTGGAGTGTCACAGAACAAAGCATAAGAGTGCTCCCTGTCACCTCCCAACTTCCTGACCACCCACCAGAGTCCCAACCACCCATCAGTGGGTGGGCCAGTCCCCAAGTCTGTGCATTATTTTGTACCTGGATTGTCACACCAGGATGTGAATTACTCCTTCCAGCCCATGGTGTAGACAGAATGTTTTCATCTAGGTGTAGAGCTGCTACCCATTGAATGAAATGTTTACCCACCACATAGTTCTCCTCAAGCTGCTCTCTTTCTGCTCGGGTGGTCCCAGGAGAGGAGCAAGGTACCCATCCTTCTGGACATTTATTTTTTTAGCACAGACACACTACCCTCATACATGGAGATTATAGCATGTAGGGATTCACATGTTATTGCTACATAGATTATCACCAAAAAGGAAAAAATTGTGACTTCCCTTGCCTACCAATAGGCTCATTCGTTGACCAATTTTTATTTTGGTCTATAAATTCTGTTTCCTTTTTTTCCTTTTTTTAAAATTCACCCTGAGCTAACATCTGTTGCCAATCTTCCTCTTTTTTTTTTCTCCCCAAAGCCCTAGTACATAGTTGTGTATTCTAATTGTAAGTCCTTCTAGTTCCTCTATATGGGAAGCTGCCACAGCATGGCTTGATGAGCAGTGTGTAGGTCTGTGCCCAGGATCTGAATTGGCGGACCCCAGGCCACTGAAGTGGAGCACACGAACCCAACCACTACACCACTGGACCAGCCCCGAAATTCTACTATTTTTAACATGTGTTTGTTATTCTACAAAACTTGCATGCAAACACTGTCAAATTTTTAACTTCACTAAATGAAATTAAATCTGGATAAAGGTCCTACATATTGAGATTGGTGAAAAATCCAACCTCAATTTTGTGGACTCCTCCATCATCCTTACATAGAACAAAGCACCAGGTCTTCTTCCATGGGCTCAGAAAGTGAGGATAGAGCCTGGGCCTTCAACCTTAGTGGTTGCTGTTACTACACTCCCTGGCCATTCAGAGATGGCATCTCCACACCTTACATGCCAAGCTAAGTCATGGGGCATCTTCCCCCAAGCTCCAACAGCTGAGGAGCTCCATCCTCCCTGGCTTTCACTTGGTCATCTGTGCCCATGGTCTTTCCAACCTAGAGGTACTGTCACAGGCCCAGGGGCCCCCCAGGCACAGAATTCATAGTCCAGGAACTCCTTCCCAGGTCCTTCAACTCATGGGGAACTCATGGCTGAGAAAATGGGATGCAGTGATATCCCGGAAGTTTATTCCATCATATTCAATTCTCAGTAAATCACTCTTCAATGAGTTAACTTAGATGATGCAATGTAGACAACTAGATAAGGCACTGTATTCATGAGCCATGTTTTGCCAGCAGAATGATAAGTTTCTCAGATTATCTTTAATTCATCCCTTTTTAGTTGCTAGCCTTTCTGTATCAGAATCTCTGTCTTCATAAGGAAAACTTTTCTGGTCTAAAACACAGCCACTTCCTCCTGAACTTTGCTGCATACCAGAATGTCTTCTTCTGAAATCTCTGCTCAATATTGTTCCTTAATATTTTGAGGGGAGAAATTTACAAGTGTCATCTTGATGCTACAAGCAAACGCTGTTTCTTCTAGAGTCCCAATATGTTGACCTTCCAGGGTCTCGCTAATCCCAGTGATGTCTGCCTTATCTCCCCTTCCAGCCACAAAACTCAAATGAATGTGAGGTGTGCTGTACAAGGGGACAACTGTTCTGCTGTGATACGTGTCCAAGGTCCTTTCATGAGAAATGCCACATCCAGCTTATAGATGTTGACAGGTTAGTGAGACCCAGCCCCCTCTTGCCCTTCCTTCTTGTGTTACAGCTCCTCCCACCATGCACACTCAGCCTGCAAAGTTTGTCTCTGCTTATATGTGTCTTGCTGCAGAAGGAGTAGCATCCTTAAGTATTAGGGTCCAGAAATATGATCCAGAGCTATTTAACAGTGCTGGCAGCAGTATATTAATAGGTTGCAAAAACTTTTCAGGTGGTTTTTAGGTGTAGTATAAAGAGGGGTCACCACCACCTTCCCCACTTGGTTCCCAGACCCATGCACTTTGATGAGGTGATGACACCATACATTAGCTTCTGGCTTAAAGCATATTCGACCTGCCATGGGAATATCACACAGCAGACAAAGCTGGGGCTGTGATGAGCCTACAGAAGGTCATCCTAGTAGCCTATCAAGTCAGCTGAACTTAAGTCACAGGGTATATGATAAGACCCTGAATTCCACTACTGTATTTCCCCTTCCGTAAAATGTGTCAGAGGTGATGGTATGTGGGATAACATGGAGACTCATCAGGCAATTCTATAAGTGGTGGTGTGGGCAGAGGATGATGTGTACCAGGAATGTGTCTGTCCTTATGAGGACAGAGCATTGCCCCTCCATAACGGGAAGAATCTAACGTAATCCACCTACTCTCGGGTAGCTCCCAGATAATGGTACCATTTCAGGGATTCAGCATAAACCTCTGTAGGTGGGCAATCTGCAACGGCAGAAGGCAAATTTGCTTTCTTGTTGAGCCCACATATGGTCCCCATCCCTGTACCAGGGGCACTTTGTAATGGACTCCTTGAGCAAGTACTGGGGTGGCCCAGGGGAGAGGCTAAATGACATCTCTAGGATGGATTACTGTATCCACCTGATCATCAAAAGCCTCTCAGCACAGAGAGCCTGGTAGAGAACAGTGGAGAACGAATCTAGGGACAAATGGAAGATATCTGACACTGTGTTGGTAGACTTCCTTTCCAAGAAGTTTCTGCAGCACAGATTCTAGGTATAGTTATGGCAGTGCCAGAGGGGAGGATGCCTGTAGCATGTGCTCGGTGCTTATTCAGTAAAGTTGATAAATGAGAGCCGGATTCCTGATTTTTACTATGGTCTGATGGTTCATCGAGGCCCAAGACTCTGGTGCTTAAGGCATAGACTTCCAATGCTCAACTCTGCAGAGTCTCGTTACCAAGCTCACAGGGGCTCATAAGGGAAGCCTAAGTTTTGAGGTGAATGACAGTCCATCACCCACATGCCACTCCACTCAATAGACTGTCAGCCCTGCTACCACTATTGATGGGATGGGTGTCGTTGGCAATTGAGCCCAAGTAGGGCTCTAGTGCAGAGGTGCCTCCAAGAGAGAAGTTGGATACAAGGTGGAAAGCACTAGTCATTCTTGAACAGAACACTTTAGCAGCTATAGGAATGGTGGCTGATTCACAGAGGACCTGCACTTGCTCCCATTATGTCTTACCTCTCAGGAACCCATGGAGTTGCATCTTCTGCAGCATGGAGATTATTCAGGAAAGGTGCTCAGAAAACCAACAACGTCATCAGGAATCTGAGGTCCTGAAGAGGCAGATGCTGCATGAGGAGAAGTTGGTGAGTTGAAATGTGAACCTGGAGCCTCTTCCTTTCTGTTTAGTTGAAACAAGCAGCACAGGCTTGCAGGGAGCTGGAGGAATGGTGTCCAAAGGCAAATTGCTGTCCCTTTGCTGTGCTTTGGTCACATGACCTAACATCAAAATTAGTCTTCCAAAGAAAATCTCCATTCCATGTTTGTTTCACGTCTACAAGTTTGGGAGTTGTGTGTTCTGTCTGAGCATTCATAAGAGTTCATTCTCTCCAAGCGACTTTTCACTTAAGATCTCCTCGGTATTTTGCAGAAATGTGAGTTCCTCCTCTTGAAGATCTACTCCTGTTCAGAAAGCCCCTTTTTTGCCTCAAAACCATACTATGTAAGTAACAGCAACAAAGCCCCAAACTGGCATTTGTCAAATTTGTCATATGAATCCAGAGGGTACAAGTTGCCATTATCTTTGCCTTACTGATGGATGTCCTAGTCAACTTAGGCTGCTATAACGAAACACCGTAGACTGGGTAGCTTACACAACAGAAATGTATTTCTCACAGTTCTGCAGACTAGAAGTCTCAGATGAGGGTGCCAGCATGGTCCAGTTCTGGTGAGAACCCTCTTTCCAGGCTACAGACTGCCAACTGCTCGTAATATCCTCACAGGGAGGAAAGAGAGAGAGCACACGCTCTGGGATGTCTTTTATAAGGCCACTAATCCTGTTCACGGGCACTCTACCCTCATGAGCTAATTATCTCCCGAAGGCCCCACTTCCCAATACCATCACATTGGAGGTTAAGATTCAACACATGATTTGGGGAGAAGGGTGGGAATACGAACACTCAGTCAGTAACAGAGGAAGCCTGTAGAAGGTAGAACCATGCTAAGGTCCTGCCCTCTGGGACTTTCGTCAACAGAGTAAACAGGCATTCTGGAGCCAGAGGAAGCCCATGTGGTTGAACAAAGTCAAGAAAAAGCTGAATAAGAAGATGTATGCCCGAGTGGAGGGGTTTGTGCGGGACATGCGCCTCATCTTTCAGAACCACAGGGCATTTTACAAGGTAAGCGTCTCTACCTGCATCCCTTTTTCTTTCAATTAAGTCACTTTGCCTTTCAGTCTCTTGTCTCAGGTAAATGTTACAACTTCTCTCATGATGTGACAAGTAATCATTCTAGAAGTATTCTAAAAGCCCTGTGGTCTACAGAGGGGAAAATAACAACAAACCAGAAAATGTCATTGCAAACGTTACCCTACGACCTCAGAGCTTACTCTCTTCTAGATAGTCGATTTTCTCCCATAGAGAGCAGTAGACTGCAGACCTACTCCATTCAACAAGAAATAGAAGTGCATTTTAAAGGCAACCAGTGTTTCTCTTCTCTAAAGGAAGATACGAAATTGAATTTCTCAAATTTCAAAATCTTGGACTTCTTTAGATCTGAATTTCCTAGTGCTGTGTCAAAAAATTAACAGAGATTACCTCAAGGGGTGAGAATGAAGGGAAAAAGAAGACACCATGAATTTACCTTAGACATTTCTGTGCTATCGTATTGTTACAAGTAGTATGTGCTGTGTTCAAAATAAAAAAACTAGAATTTTGTAAAATCAAATCAATCAATAAATTTCTCATGAAAAATTAGACGGCAGTTATGGCACTATTTTTGCTCTTCTGTCTTCTGGATAAAGAGAAATGATCAAGCTATCAGGGAACATAAGCTACTCTTAACTGGATTAATTCTCACAATGTTTGGGGTAGTCTAAAATGAAGCTCTGGATTTTCTGAAACTTTGGGAGTCTACACTCATTGACAATGGCTATTATTGTTTTTGTCTTTGCTTTTTCAGGACAGGAAATTCGTCCGGCTGGGACTTCAACTAGAGGACAAATTTGAGAATAATTTCAAAAACATTTTTGCAATTCAGGAAATAAGTAAAAACCAGTTCTCAGTTTGAGCCCATAGTTTTTTTTTTTTTTTTTTATTAATGTTATGATAGATTACAACCTTGTGAGATTTCAGTTGTACATTTTTGTTAGTCATGTTGTGGGTACACCACTTCCCCCTCCGTACCCTCCCCCCACCCCCCCTTTTCCCTGGTAACCACCGATCAGATCTCCTTCTCAATATACTAATTTCCACCTATGAGTGGAGTCATATAGAGTTCGTCTTTCTCTGACTGACTTATTTCGCTTAACATAATGCCCTCGAGGTCCATCCACATTGTTGTGAATGGGCCAATTTTGTCTTTTTTTATGGCTGAGTAGTATTCCATTGTGTATATATACCACATCTTCTTTATCCAATCATCAGTTTCTGGGCATGTAGGCTGGTTCCACGTCTTGGCTATTGTAAATAATGCTGCGATGAACATAGGGATGCAACGGACTCTTGAGATATCTGATATCAGGTTCTTAGGATAGATACCCAGTAATGGGATGGCTGGGTCAGAGGGTATTTCTATTTTTAACTTTTTGAGAAATCTCCATACTGTTTTCCATAGTGGCTGTACCAGTTTGCATTCCCACCAACAGTGTATGAGGGTTCCTCTTTCTCCACAACCTCTCCAACATTTGTCGTTCTTGGTTTTGGATGTTTTTGCCAATCTAACGGGGGTAAGGTGATATCTTAGTGTAGTTTTGATTTGCATTTCCCTGATGATTAGCGATGATGAACATCTTTTCATGTGTCTATTGGCCATATTCATATCTTCTTTTGAGAAATGTCTGTTCATGTCCTCTGCCCATTTTTTGATCGGGTTGTTTGTTTTTTTGTTGTTAAGCAGTGTGAGTTCTTTGTATATTATGGAGATTAACCCTTTGTCGGATAAGTGGCTTGTAAATATTTTTTCCCAATTAGTGAGCTGTTTTTTTGTTTCAATCCTATTTTCCCTTGCCTTGAAGAAGCTCTTTAGTCTGATGAAGTCCCATTTGTTTATTCTTTCTATTGTTTCCCTCAACTGAGGAGTTACAGTGTCCGAAAAGATTCTTTTGAAACTGATGTCAAAGAGTGTACTGCCTATATTCTCTTCCAAAAGACTTATTGTCTCAGGCCTAATCTTTAGGTCTTTGATCCATTTTGAGTTTATTTTGGTGTGTGGTGAAAAAGAATGGTCAATTTTCAATCTTTTGCATGTGGCTGTCCAGTTTTCCCAGCACCGTTTGTTGAAGAGACTTTCTTTTCTCCATTGTAGGCCCTCTGCTCCTTTGTCGAAGATTAGCTGTCCATAGATGTGTGGTTTTATCTCTGGGCTTTCAATTCTGTTCCATTGATCTGTGGACCTGTTTTTGTACCAGTACCATGCTGTTTTGATCACTGTAGCTTTGTAGTATGTTTTGAAATCAGGGATTGTGATTCCGCCGGCTTTGTTTTTTTTGCTCAGGATTGCTTTAGCAATTCGCGGTCTTTTGTTGCCCCATATGAATTTTAGGATTGTTTGTTCAATTTCTGTGAAGAATGTTCTTGGGATTCTGATTGGGATAGCATTGAATCTGTATATTGCTTTAGGTAGTATGGACATTTTAACTATGTTTATTCTTCCAATCCATGTGCAAGGAATGTTTTTCCATCTCTTTATGTCATCGCCTATTTCTTTCAAGAAAGTCTTGTAGTTTTCATTGTATAGATCCTTCACTTCCTTGGTTAAGTTTATCCCAAGGTATTTTATTCTTTTCGTTGCGATTGTGAATGGGATAGAGTTCTTGAGTTCTTTTTCTGTTAGTTTATTGTTAGTGTATAGAAATGCTACTGATTTATGCACGTTAATTTTATACCCTGCTACTTTGCTGTAGTTGTTGATTATTTCTAATAGTTTTTCTGTGGATTCTTTGGGGTTTTCTATGTATAAGATCATGTCGTCTGCAAACAACGAGAGTTTTACTTCTTCGTTACCTATTTGGATTCCTTTTATTTCTTTTTCCTGCCGAATTGCTCTGGCCAGCACCTCCAGAACTATGTTGAATAGGAGTGGTGAAAGTGGGCACCCTTGTCTTGTTCTGAGCCCATAGTTTTATAACATACCTCATTTCTCCCACCCCTTCACGACGATGTGCCTGTGGCCTCACTGACCACTTTGCCTGTTGCTGTGCAAACAACGTCATATTATACTTCTTTTTCAAACTCACATGGCCATATATGCTCATTTATTTTTCTAAGTAAAATTTAAAACTGTCTTGTCAAGTTCTCTTATTGACTAACACGGGGTTAAATTTACAGTAGAAAATATCAAGTCTTTCTGTAAAGGATCATATTTTGTGCTTTCATTTATTTCAGTCTTTTACTAGGTTCTTAAGTAAAGTTTTCTCTTCTCCTCACACAAGACTTAACTTATTTCTTTTTTTTAACTCTCACATATTTTATACTTTTTTGCTCCTTATTGTGAAAGCAACCTTTTCCCATTATATTTTATTATTTTGATTATTACCCGTTATAGAAAGCTATTGTTATTTATGTATTTTGGTCACTGATTACCTTACTGAATACTGGACAGCATCCATTTTTGGCCCATACCCAGTGGCATCAGGAAGCCTGTCATGGTTGCATATAATTTCCAATTTTCAATTCATAGAATCATACTTGGTACAGCTGATGGAAGCATTCTTCACTTGGGCACTAAAACCTCTGATAATTCTTGGTTCTGTTGGGGAATGGCTCTGCTGTGGCATCGTGGTGACCTTGCATGTCTCCATATAGATCACATATGTAAGACTCAACTGCAGATGAGCTGATCTAATTGGGTCTTGGCAGGATGCCCTGTGATCCTCCCAGAACACGAGAGCGCAGGTGGCTACACATAGTAGGGATTCTGTATTCAAAATGATAATTCAAGCAAAGGGGAGCAATTCTAGTGTCGACTCAGATAGTTGATGGAAACTGAGACAAATGGAGGCCATAAAAACCAGCGTTGAGGGGCCTGCCCGGTGGCGCAGCAGTTAAGTTTATACATTCACTTCAGTGGCCTGGGGTTCACCTGTTCGGATTCCCAGTGTGGACCTATGCACCATTTGTCAAGCCATGCTGTGGCAGCATCCCACACATAAAGTAGAGGAAGATGGGCATGGATGTTAATTCAGGGCCAGTCTTCCTCAGTGAAAAAGAGGAGGATTGGCAGCAGATGTTAGCTCAGGGCTAATCTTCCAAAAAAATAAAACAAACCAGGGTTGATATGTTTCTTAACCCTTCCCAAATGTCTATTTCCCAAGGTTAACTATACACTGGAAAAAGGAAAATTCCCATGTCCTTAAAGGATCATTGAACACTGACCCTCAGCTAATTCTGAGAGCCTGAATCACCATGATGAACTGTCTGACAGAAGAGTTTTGGGTAATAAATGCAGTTTCCATCTCATGGTAGACCTAGTCAAAAAAGTTTCTTATTACAATTGATAAAATTATTTAGGGATGATTCAGAAACAAATGTATCCAAAGCTCTATCTTTCTTTACTGATTTGATGACTGAAAAGAGGATGGTCTCCTAAACAGGTAAAAGGTTCAGAGATCCTGCCAGAAAATAAGCTTTCTGGGACTACAGCTACCCAGAAAAATTGACCAGTCCCGTCGCAGACCAAGCAAAATATTTTATTCTTGAGCACTCTCTTGTAGCATATTCTGTTTTCAATCCTTTGCCTCGTGATAAAGTTATATTTTTCATTTAGATTTATTGTTTAAATTTTGACTTTTTTTCTTTTTAACTCCCTTTTTGTTTGCTTTGTTGAGTTAGGGGATTTAGTAATGTGGCTTCATTATTCCATCATTGTCTAGAATCGGTTCTTTTCCAGTCTACCATTTTTATTTGTGGCAGAGACAGTAGTGTTCACCAGATATCACATATATATCCTTAAACTTTCCAACCCCTTGCATTAGGCAGGGTCAAATGACCAGTACACTGACAAATGGATACGATCAGAAGTGGCATGTGTCATTTGCAGGCCGATTCTAGAAGAGCAGTGAGAATTTTCCATGCATGCTTTCTCCCACCTCATTGATTATGGAGGCCTTGTTTTGAGATGACAGAGCCTACACATTGAAACAGCTTGGAATATATATTCACTACCACCCTAGAGAGGCTCCCAGATCCACTGTGGGCTTTGAGTAAGTGAGAAGTAAACTCTGTTGTGTAAGACATTGGAACTTGAGGGTTGTTAATTGCCACAGCATAACCTAGCAAGACCTGGCTAATATTTATTAGAAACAACAGAGAAACACTTGTAGGAGTAGATTTTTAGGGTGTTGGACCAGGAAGGGTAGAATATAAGATTGGATAATGGAGACTTTTTTGACCTTGAGGCCTTCTCCTCTGCGTCAAGGTATAAGGTACTGGCAAGGGCACCTGGAGCTGGTCCTATCTATGACTGAGTCGGCTCCTTGAAGCTTGGAAAAAAGGACGGCATTTTGTAAATGAGGTGGACATGCCCCAAATGCCTTGGCATAGTATTGAAGGAGTCAGAAGGCTCAGGAGGGTAGGAATGTTAAAATGGGTATATTACATGAGACAAGAAGACATGCGCTATGGCTTCAATACGCCTATAAGCCCAGAGGATATTTCCTTCACGAAACCAATAAAAAATGCACTTGTGCAGGAGTGCTGGCACTTTTGAGAACCCCACTTTTGCCTCTCCTCTGTAAACTGGAGCTGATGCTACAAGA